ATTACTTAAAATATTTGCAAGAATTACAAGACAGAAAACAATTTCATTTAGCAAATAAATTACGCCTCACACATATTCAATTTAAACAAAACATCATGAAAGTTAAATTAGCCGCCCAGATATTTAGCCGCAGCATTGCAGTAGCTTTGCAGTTTTGTAAAAATGAACTCAAATTATCAGCATTTCAGGACGTAGATGCGACAGCTGAAATGCTCCTTCTTATCAATGATCTATTCGATATTTTAGATTCCCAAGTTCATGCTTGCAGTTTTAAGCGAGCACTTAACCAAGATAACGCGCCTGTTGTTTTTGAAAAGTTGGAATGCTGCAAAAAAATTCTTGTTTCTGTAACTACAAAAAAAAATCTAATCTGCATTAAATAAAATTAATCAAATCACCTCGTAGTACAGGATTCCTTGGATTTTGTGTGGCTATAGAAAGTGTACGAGGAATAAGTATATGAGGTATAATGATTTGATTGTAAATGAAAGTTCTTGTATAAAGTATGTACCTTTTCACAAAATATCACAAGACCACATAGAGTTATTATTTGCATGCATTAGATCTCACGGAGGGAGCAATGATAACCCTACACCACGCTTGTTGGAATTTATTCACAAAAGATATTAATATATAGAGTTGGTTGAAGTATCTACAGGAAAATGCGTACCACTGGAGCAGATATCAATTTTAAATTGTTCCTCTGCAATACAGAGAATTAACTTAACTACGACAGGAGAAGACAAAGAAGAAATTACTGATGTTGATATTGAACATGATGTTCATAGTGCAACAGCATTTGCAGCGAATGGCCTTTCACAATTTGCTGAAAGTGCTGTTGAATATATTGCTGGGTTTGTAGCTAGCTCTTTATTAAAACACATTAAATGCAAAACTTGCATAGAGGGGCATTAGTGTCTTTAAATGAAGACAAAAGCCGTTTTATTGCTTACAGAGATAAGGGTGGATTAATCTACCCAAACATTACTTAAAAATTGCCGGCGGTGTGAACTAATTATAAAGTCATACATTATAAACTTAAAAAACGGTCTACCACGCAAGGCTGATTTTTTAGTAAGTAAAACATTAAGCACTTTTGTTGGTGAGCCCCTATTTTCGGAAATAATTTTTCACCAATTTCAGTCCGAAGAAACTAACCACATAGTGGATTTAGCCAGCAGCGTAATACACAAATACATTTCCACAAGGTTAGCATTTCTAACGAAATGTTCCATTCCAAAACCGACAATAAGAAGAATTTACACAAAGTTGATACATTTCAAAAACAATTAAATATAAAGAATGAGTAATTGTAATAAATACTTAATGTATTTTTTTATAAATTCATGTAACTATAGTAGTTTAGTTATACAGCGTGTAAGGTGCAGTTTCTCAAAAACTTTAACCATGGCCATCGCTCAGAGTCAGACTATCATTCTGAACACCATTCACAAAAATAAAAAAATTTGTGAATGCAAAACAATGCCAACCTTCACACTGAGCCAACATTCGCTAGTTTTTTATATTAGGATTAGTTTCACTACTATTCAATATAACTGAGTATTATTAACACATAGTTTATTTATAAACGTATAAATACGTTAAAATTGTAAAACTGTGGTGCTATTTATGAGTAATAAAGATACAAACATCTTTATTATTTACCAATTTGCTTGTATTGTTTTAAATTAGCTTTCCTCATAGATTACAGGGGTAACAACATTGAAAAGGTTGGGAACCACTGGTCTAAATCCATGGTTCAAAGGTTTCTTATGTTTTATGAATAAACCCGTATAAATAACATTAAGTATTTTTATAGAAATAAAAGGAGCTGGGTTGGATTTTATTGTTTTATAGGTATTTTACTAAATACGATACCTACTTTAATAAAACTTCTATTGTATTTTTTTTATTTTGTACTAATTTATAGTTGAATATGGTTCTGGTACTGACTAAGTAGACTTGGTACCAAATTTATGAGTTAAAGTCCTCATCACTATGTGTCTATTAGCAAGTGCCGCAACCTTAAATTTAACCAATTAGCGTGCATTTCAACCCGCCTCCCCCGTACCGTTTACCTCAAACTTTTGACAGAAAGGTTTGGATGCATAAGTACATACAATGCGGTCACATGAACTTGACGCATGGCTTTGATGACGTCATTTACAACAGTGTAACAGAGATGCTAACCTTACAGACGATTGCCGGGCGAGCTAATGGAGTGCGGGGGCTAGCGGGCGGGGCCTCGCATTCCAGCGATGCTTCAAGTTAATGTGACCGCAATATACATTAGGCGTCTACTCGGGCTGTGTAGTCGTTGTTTGCAAACCTCCAGAATGAAATAGGGATGTTCGATGATCATCGATGTTAATAATTAAAACATCGATGTTGCCAAATGTCAAACATCGATGTCAATGAACCCATAATCGATTAATAGGAACTTGTGAAAAACGCGAACCCGAGAAATCTATATCAACTAAATCTTGCATCTCCTATTAAAGGTTTTAAATTTTGAATAATTCAGAATTACTAAACGCATCGATCACCTTAAAAAATATCATTATGGTGTGTCACACTGTACTGTCAAGTGTGAACTGTAATTATCAGTTGTCACTGCTTTCGCTTTATTCTGTGGTGTTGTTGTCGATTGTCACCTATAATCACCAATCATAATAAACTATTCATAATAACTATTCAATGGAGATTAGAGAACAGGAGCTGAGCTACACGATGTTCGCGAATAATTTGTATAAATCATATCGGAAAAAAATTAGATAATTGCGGAATCGTTACAAAAATTTTTAATCTCAAGTAAAAAAATTGAGAAAGTAGAAAAATACGTTTTTCTTGTAAGATATTGATCTGAGAACATTGAAACTACTGCGAATCGTTTGCAAATTATTTGCCGATTCTGTAAATATTGCCTTTAATGCGTTATTCGCTACAGACACTGAGTAATAAATTAATTATTTTTTCGTCAACTACTCTACACCAATTCGGGCGGTTCGTGTACCATTTTGTATAAATCGTATCGGAAAAAAATTAGATAAATGTGGAATCGTTAGAAACATTTGTAATCTCATGTAAAAAAATTGTCAGTTTATAACTTTATTTATATAAAATCAAAAACTTTTTACGCCACGAGAAAGTAGAAAAATACGTTTTTTCTTGTAAGTTATTGATCTAAGAACATTGAAACCACTGCGAATCGTTTGCAAATTAATTACCGATTCTGTAAATATTGCATTTATTGCGTTATTAGCTATAGATACTGAGTAATAAATTAATTATTTTTTCGTCAACTATTTACACCGATTCGGGCGGTTCGTGTACCATATTGTATAAATCGTATTGGAAAAAAAATTAGATAATTGCGGAATCACAAATGTTTCTAACGATTCCACAATTATCTAATTTTTTTTCGATTTATACAAATTATTCGCGAACCACAAACTAAGAGTACTTCGCGAACATCGTGTAGCTCAGGAGCAACACTTTTGAGCTTATCTTAATGTACATGAAGATTAGAGAACAGGAGAACGATCACCGTAGAAAATAGTGTCCAGAAATATGGACAACATAAGTGAGGCGCTGCGATCGCTCGAGGTTCTGTCAATAAAAGTCATTTTCAGTCTAGTTTTCCGATTAGATGCTAAACTACTTACATATCCACGCACAATAAAATATTTCTCCATTTTTTAATGTTTCTTTTTGTCAAAAATTACAAAATTACGGAGCATGAAAATATTCTCATTAAAAATGAGACTTTAAAGTAGACAGATAGAGATGACAGGTGACAACTGTCGTATATTATAACCAAATATTTCAAAATATATTTATATTTTATTCCTGAAATTCCGAAAAATAATGTTTTATGTAAATAATATATTTCAATATTAATGAATATGTGATAATATATTTACAAGTTCGTTTGTCTGAAGTGATGACACGAAATAACGATGGCCGAATACACCAAGAATATATTTTATTTTGCAACATTAATGCCAGGGAGAACTTTAAAGAAATATTAAATGAGAAAATAGAACAACGTCAAAATAACAAAATCAATGCTCACTACACTTCTACTGATCCCAAGAAAACAACGAATGCCGCGTTTTTATTGAGATGCTTGAGCGTTTTATTGAGATTGTCACCAAAAGAAGCTTTGAAACCATCAACTGTAAGCGGTTATAGTTGTAGGTCACTTCAAGATGCAACGCCTGGTGATTCATCGTACACAATATTAATATTAGATTGCTTTAAGGCGATAAACAAAGCTCGAGAACTAGGTTTTTCTTTTAATTTTCAAGATTTTGATTTATACTAAATTATAGACTTTTGAGTGCTGTAGATATATTTTAACATTTTTAATTATTTACATTTTCTATGAATATTATCGCTCCAATACATTCACAGCCGGATTTCCTACAATGTCAAAATTGTACCGACGGTAGGCTGTTTAAAGGTAAAAAGGCATTGATGTATATGTTATCACTAGATCAGTAATAAGCGCACCAAAGCGTTGCCACTTCACATATGGCCACAGCCATATGCCTAGCTAACGTTAGTTCAGTCTTCAGTGTGACGCCAACAGAACGATCCGCGACAAAAAATGGGTCAATGCGTAGTGAAAGAATGCGATTCAAGGTCACAAAAAGATAATAAATCAAGCGGAATCACTTTTCACACGTAAGTTTTAGTTCATTTTATCATATAAACGTAAAAAACCACACAAAAATAAAACAAAATATCAAATATTGCTATCTAAGTTAAATGTTGCCACTTTTCCGCCTTTATGATTTGCCCACATTAATAGGAGACTATATAATTTATGAAATAAGTTAATTTATTACCTCTAATTTTAAATATTTTAAAAATTATAATAAAAACTACGTTATAACCTTCATAAAAATAATGAATTATTCTTATTTTAATTTGTTCATGAATGATCTATTAATTATATTTTATTACCTACCTAATTTATGTTAATAATTTTGCAGAGTACCTAAAGATGCAACACGCTGTAAGAAGTGGGTGGAAATAATACGATTGCTGAGAAAGGAGACTGACTGGGTGCCTTCTAAATCTACTCTCATTTGTTCTAAGCACTTCAGGGTACAAGACAAACTAGGACCAAAAAGCGATTGTGGCCGTGTTTATTTGTCTAACGAAGCAATTCCAATGCTTGTTGTAAGTAAAGATTTAATAGGCTCGTTAATTAATATTGTGACCAATGTGGGAAGTTTATCAAAAGTGTGTAAAAATACCTTTTCATAAAACTCCCAAATAGCAAAGTGTATTGCAAACTAATTTTGTACTATTATTATTATAAACTCATTTATTTCGAATTAAATTATACTATGATGAATATTTATTTTATCTCATTAATTAGTTTTCATAGTGCTGTTTTGACTACAATAATTAATGGTCATTTTTCAGGACGAACCATATTTTGAAAATCCGGTGGAATTTTTAGTAGAAGAAAATATGGACGATGATGTTATGGAAACCGATGAAGAGATAGATGAAATAACTGAAACACCGCGAAAGCATAAAATGAGAAAAAACAATTCAACGTTTGAAAATTGTATCTACACGAAGACTAAAAACAAAAACTAAAAAAATTAAAAGACGTTATCGAAGAAATAAAAAAAACGTATGTTGAGCGAAGAAGAAGAGATGCAGCTAAATTTGAACGGAGAAACAGAGCAATTGATGGAAGAATTTAAAAAGTGCTTCAAACAGGAGAGGTTTTTTTAAATAAATTTCCTTATTTTATATTTTTGTTGTTAATTTATATTTTTGTTTGTGTACTTACTTTATATTTTTGTTTGATTTATTAGTACAATAAAAATTATTAAAAAAAGATCTTTTATTTCATCAGTTAGGCTTACTTCATTTCTTATTAATCTTATAAGAAAATATACATATTTAAAATAAAAACAATTAATTGCAACCTTAACAAAAACTCCTTTTTATGGCTTGATTTGGGTAAAATTTCATATCGTAGGCAACACCAACCCGCCTTTGCATGTTTGTGTTTCTATCTATATCTAATCTTAGCGACGGCATTGTTTTCGCGGCTGGTGTAAGTGAGATGGATATATGTTTATTTAAAATTGTTATTAGTTTCAAAGCTACGTCGTCGCGTTTTTTCGATGAGCGGTAATGTTGGATAGTGGTTACGGTTTTTTCGATGAGCGGTAATGTGGTTTGCTCCTCTAGTGTTGTATAACTCAATGTAAAAAGGGATTAAATATACACATTAAACGATGCCATAGTAAAAATATTTCAGCTTCACAGCCTACCGTAGAAATTCATGACTCTTCTGATAATATACCTAATGACACAAATTCTTCACTTTTTTCGAAACAATTATACAATTTGTATAGTAACATACCAGTAGTTAAAAGAATTCCCAGAGGTGTGAGGATGCAACTTGCTAAGGCATTATCATTAACTATTCAAAATTGTCTAACGAATAGTGAAAAAAGTTGGCAAACATTATTTACATTCGCGTATTCCCACTTTCATTTTAGTAAAAAAATAAATAAATCAATTACGTCTCAACTAAAAGAAAATTCTTTTCAAAATTTGAAGTACCCGATTAATACTAATTTCTCTCGACCTTATCCTAAATTTGATTTAAAAAAAGTAGTTGAAACAAAGTAATGGACGGCGACTTAAAAAATGCATCCCGTATTTTATTCTCAGATGACATCGTCGCTCCTCGTAATGTCGAAACTCTTGAAGGCCATCGTAGGAAACATCCTTCGGTCAATCGTTCCCAGAATTTACCGCTGCCTCCCAATACTTCTATGCAACCATTACAAGTTTCCGAAAAAGACACTTTAGATGCAATATTGTCATTTTCGAATGGCTCTGCCGGCGGCATTGACGGGATTACGCCTCAGCATCTCAAAGACCTTGTAAGCGTAACTGCCGGTAACGCCGATAGGGTACTTCTTAATGATCTTAATTTTATGCTTTCTGGTAATGTCAATCCCAATTTCATTCCCTACTTATATGGGGCAAGATTGTGTGCCTTCAAAAAAAAGGATAACGGTATCCGTCCTATTGCTGTTGGTTCTACATTTCGACGTTTAACTTCAAAATTAGCTTGCAGGTACATAATCTCAAACCTTAAGATAAAATTTCAACCTACTCAACTAGGCTTTGGGACAAAAAGGTGGCTCTGAGGCGGTGGTACATTCGGTGCGTACTTTCTTAACTAATTCCAATGCAGATGTTCTTCTGAAGGTTGATCTTAGAAATGCTTTTAACTCAATTGATAGGATAACCCTACTGAAAGAAGTGGCTAACAATACCCTCGAAATATATCATTACGTTTGGCATTGTTACAGTCAAAATTCAAACTTGTTTTATCAAAACCATATTATTGAGTCTGCTGTCGGTGTTCAGCAGGGTGATCCATTAGGTCCAGCTCTTTTCAGTTTGGGAATTCAACCTATTATTTCAAATTTAAAATCCAAGCTGAATGTCTGGTATCTGGACGACGGTACACTGGGAGGTAAAGCACATGACGTCCTCAATGATCTTACTCATATTTTTTTAAATTTTAAAAATATTGGTCTTGAACCAAATACAAATAAATGTGAAATATTTATTTCTAATAATTTATCTAATTCTAACAGAGATACCTTAATTCAAAATTTCAAACAGATTTCTCCAGGAATAAAAACTGTCAATTTGGAATCGCTTTACCTGCTTGGTGCTCCGTTGTTTTTCGATAGTATTAAACCTGTTTTAAAAACAAAATTTGATCAATTTCTAAATCACGTTGATAAATTATATATTTTAAACCCCCATATTGCCCTTACCATTTTAAAATATTGTCTCCTTGTACCTAAATTTACATACTTGTTACGCTCAAGTCCAGTCTGGAAATGTTCGGATATTTTAAAAGATATTGATAGTAATCTTAAAATTGCTTTAGAAAACATTCTAAATTTGAGATTAAATACAATAGCCTGGAATCAAGCCACTTTACCTATAAAATATGGTGGAAATGGTGTAAGAAATATTTCTAGCGTCGCATTGCCTACTTTCCTTGCTTCCGTGCATAGTGTCAATGACCTATGTAACACAATTTTAAATAATAAAGTAGACCTGTGCTTTGCTTCGGAGGCAAAGCAAACATGGCTAACGCTCTGTCCCGGCGAAAATGTCCCACTGGAAGTTAACCAACAAAAACAGTGGGTTATTCCGTTGGTACGGAGTGTCCAGAAAAATTTATTTCAAAATTTCCATATTCAACAAGATCAGGCTCACCTTCTAGCTGTTTCGACTAAGGAATCTAGCCACTGGTTACATGCTCTACCATCTAGTAATCTCGGCACATTGCTTGATGGGGAAGGCTTGCGCATCGCCGTAGGAATCCGGCTAGGAGTGGCTATTTGTCAACCTCATCAGTGCCCCTGTGGTAGCAGCGTTGATGAGTTTGGGCTCCACGGACTTTCATGCAAGAAAAGTGCAGGTAGGTTTTCCCGTCACGTTTTTTTGAACGAAATCATCCGAAGGGCTCTTGTCTCTATAAATATCCCCTCGGTTTTAGAGCCTTGCGGGATATTTAGAGACGATGGCAAGAGACCCGACGGTATGACTTTGGTCCCTTGGGAGAGAGGTAAAGCCCTAGTGTGAGATGCTACTTGCGTTGACACTTTGGCGGCCTCTCATCTCAAGGGTACCTCTTTTAGAGCCGGGGCGGCGTCAGAGGCAGCCGAATTTAGTAAATGGCACAAATATGAGTCTTTGAGAAATGACTACATATTTGTGCCATTTGCTGTAGAGACTATCGGTCCGTGGGGTCCACGTGCAATGAAGTTTCTAAAGGAACTGTATCCACGACTGGTCGTCGTTGCTGGTGATAAGAGGGCTGGTTCTTTCCTCGCTCAAAGACTAAGTATAGCTATTCAGCGAGGAAACGCAGCCAGCGTTCTTGGCACTATACCACGGGGAGCAGGTCTTTTTGACGATTAAAATTATTAGTTTCTTCTTTTATGTTGTATGTAATTAGATGTTATCTTTAATATTATAATTTTAATTATTATTTTAGTTAAGTTGTTTAATATATAAATGTATGTGTGTATATTAAAAAAAAACTTTAAAGTTTGATGTTAAAATGAAATGAAAATTTGTACATTATTCAACTAACTTCATCTACTTGTACTCATAAACAACTTCGCAGTTACTACTCACCGACGTCAGCGCCGCTATACATTCTACAATTTTCAAGGACAGGCGGGCTATGTTTTATTACGTAGTGATCGTTCTCCTGTTCTCTAACCTTCATGATAATGAGTATGGAGTGTAGAGGTAAGGAGTACAGACTCTGTATAAAAAATTTCCGTAGGAAAGCGTTAAGTAAGAATGACGCCACTGTAGCTACAGTGTAAATTTTAAAGAACTTTTTATAATTTTTTTATTGCACAGACTTTCACCATAATTCTTTTTACAATAATTATTTTATTGTTTTCAAAATCACTCACATTACGGCGATTTAACATACCCCGTAGCTACTCGAGCGCTGTAGTGGAGAGTTTTTGAACTGTTATTTACTGCTTACAGGTGGACACTTTTTCATCTATTCTCCTATGGGAGTTGATACTCCTTAATTCTACACTCCATAATAATGAGTTTATTGTTCGGTTGAACTTGAAGGTCATGAAAATAGATCACTGAGCGAGCGTGAGCATAGACAATTTTACTGAATAGTGCATTCAAATGTGCATTTTATAAACAGCTGTGGATACTTACTGAAATAAAAAGCCTGTTAAAAGAAACCGGCGACGATTAGGCCCGCGACCCTATAAGATTATTCGGAAGAGATGTTGCAATTAGCAGTAGAATCAGTCAAAAGCAAGAAGATTTCTTCTTCAAAATTCAAAATTCTTTATTCAGTATCTTAAATTTAAATACATTAACTAGGCTGGGGTCTTCTTTTAAGTATATCAATACCTGTGTTAGGGGACCCCGCCATAACAATTTTAGATACATATAAAATTGCGCATATGTAAAGTTTAAATTAAGAGCGTGTGTGTGTGTGTGTGTGTGTGTGTGTGTGTGTGTGTGTGTGTGCGTGTGTGCGTGTGTGCGTGTGTGTGTGTGCGTGTGTTATGGAAAGTATTTATGCTATGGTGTAATTTTTCTATTTATTTCAATAAATTTTCAGTTTCTTCATACTCTATCGTCTTTAACCACGCTGTAAGTTGTTTTTCACATTATGCTTGGTCGTTGCATATATGTTAAGTTTTTTATTAGTATAGTTATAGAGATGAGCAGACTGACTTCTAAATTGCCTCCTAGCAAATTTCATGGGTACTACTGGTGCCACAGCATGTCCTCTTCTTCTATCGCAATTTTTGGGGTTATATATCAGCGTCTTGTGCAATCTTAATACAGAGTTAAGGATATACAGAACTTCCTGACCGAAAGGTGGTCACATGGGGTGTATAGCTCTTTAGTAGGGGATCTGTAGGGCTTAAAGTGCATCACTTTAAATAATAATCTCTGTACTCTTTCTAGTTCCAAGAACTTCATTTTAGTGGCTCCACCCCAAACTGGGATACAGTATGTCAAAATGGATTGAGCTAATGAAA